GAGCAGGGGATAAAAGGGATAGTGGATCTAGAAAATATACATTGTGTGGTACTGTACCACTATTCTACGTTTGTTTTTAAAAGCGGCGTTCAGCCTGTTTCGGCCTGTTTCAGCGACACCACTGGCGTGGGTACTGTCCAGAGGCTTTTGCTGCCAGGACACTGGAGTTCTGGGCAAGGTCCGAGCCCCGTGGGATGGTGGGATGGATTGTCAGCAGGTTTGTCAGGCTGTTGTGACGGCAGCAGCAATTCTCCCTTCGCTTAGCAATGCCTACACCTTGAGCTTAGGTGGCTCGAGCAGCCATCCTAGTACAAGCTAAAAGATGAGAGTTTCGAGCTGCCAGTGTCCTGTGGCTGGCTGGCTCCACAGGTCAAACTATCAACTGCAACGAACCACTACCATTCCTTCGTACCGATACATGTAGGGCACATCTTTTACAGCCACACCAATGCGTTTGCCACAACGATATGCACATGAATTCAGTGGCATGGTCCAGCCACTGCTGGTGGCTTCGCAAATCGACCACTCTTGTTCCATTCATCACAAGCGACTTCCAAGGCCATTTTCTGCAACTTACTTGCTTTGCCCGCTACATTTAGTTTTGCTGCCTCATGGCCTCTAAAATAGTAAGTATGGTTATGACTTCGCAGGCTCCAATTGTTGCCCTCAGTTGTGATGATCAATTACGAGTGGCACCTCTCCGATAGTACGGTACGAAGAATCATCACGAGAAGATGCTAGAAATGCCAGCATCCTGCTATTTCACTCTGCCCAGAGAAACTTGAGAGCCGCAACCATGATCAATAGCTCTTCGCACCAGCAAATTGCAGTTGCTCTCTCGCAAGGATGTCGATGGTTTACGGGTGAAACCGAGAATCGAATCGAATCGAATCGAATCGTATCAATCGAATGAATCTGAATAATCGAATGATCAATCTCACAAAAGGAAAAGGGACCGGACTGAAACACAGACACTGAGACAGCTCACCAGAGTTAGGGATCGGTCAGCCGTGCCTCAAGGGGGATCCGCGGAAATAAGTCAGCGGAAGCTGCGATACCTCGGCAGAAAGCAGATAGAAGAAGGATGACATGTTTGAGATTGCAGTCTTCTTTCAAGCTAGCCCTGACGACAACACCCGACTTCGTCGTGTGTTGCCGCCCAGTGCAGTCGTATCATTCCCTCATTGCAACCTTCTTTTTTATTCTAGCTAGCCCTGGTTTTTATTCTAGCTAGCCCTGGCGACAACACCCGACTTCGTCGTGTGTTGCCGCCCACTAACCATAATTTTACAGCTGTCATTCCCTTATGGAACTGTAACTTTTGTAGCTTGTGCTGGCTTATTGTGTTGAGTGCCCTTAAATTTGTAGAACCTTCAATTAATTTTCAGTTCGGTTGGCTTATGACTATCTCTATCCCTATATTTTGGCTTCACCGGAATAGGAAATAGTAATAAAGGGGTTGAGAACTCAGGCAGTTAACCTGCCGAGGTAAAGATCCGCCTTCCAGATTTACAAAGAAACACATTTTATTAATCCTCTCTGCAACCCTCATTACGCCAAACAACCAACTTCCATTTTGCACCCAACCAAGTGGCAAACTAGCTAGGCTCTAGCACTCTTTCCCTTGGCGCTTCTTCCATCCTTTTTATTCTGTGAAGCTGTTTCTCTTGAGCCTACCGGTATTTGATCCAAACCATCCACAGCAGCACATGGTTGCATCATTCTTTTAAGAGGACTGCTTCAATTGAGAGTCACTTTTTGGATTTCTTCTTCTTTTGACCACATTCCTGGGATTCGGGCCTCTAGGTGCTCATGCCAGCAAAACGGAATGTACCTATGACATTATTATCAATGGAGTAGCGATCGAGGGGGGCAATACCGAATGCTTCAAGTCGCCAGGAAATGGACTCCCTGCATTGGTTTCAGGGTCAGAAGCAGACCCCATTGTGGTGTGGGATCCAGATGCCCCTTGTGGAGGTGAACATGGCAGCTACATTCATTACGCCGGCATGGGAAGCATGAAAAACTTCGAACCCATGACAGCTGGGGCGGGAGATGTCGTGCATACCTATCGAGCAGCCGTCTTTGGAAAGGGCCTTCCTTTGGCAGAGGAAACCACAGGTTGTGTCCAATTTGATACCACCTCTGTTGGCCCACTCAAATGCCAGAAATCCTGGAAGGTGGCGCGATTTGGCAGCTCATGTCCCAAAAAGCCAACAGAGGAGGAGCTCTGAGTGTTCTGGTTGCTTGTGGCAATTGTAACGACTGTGTGCTTTGCCTGTGGAAATGACAACGGCCCACAGGTTGCACCCAACTGGAGTCTTAAATTTGCCTTGTCCGTTTTTCAAGTGGTCGTGATTTGTTTGTTTGGCTAGGTACGTGTAGATTAGATAGAGAAGCCATGCACGCAAATTTCACTTATCAAAAGCTAGCATGTCGTACTGTAGCCTACTAGCTAGAGACAAACATTACGAAGGAAAAGCCTTAGTCCTCTCAAAAGCTTGGCCGTTATTGCGGCAAACAATCTCGTCAAAATTGGAGCCATCCGCCAACATCTCGGGTGGTGTCGGGAAACTTAATATGGGGTAGAGGGAACTATGATGAGGATGGGGTGCAGGGAGGGGAGGGCGGGATGCAGGAACCCGAGCCAAACAATCCAGTGCCCAAGCAGGGCAACATCAAAACCAAGGAGAGGGAGGAGCAAAGGAGCAAGGCTAGGGGAAGAGATCAAGGGCACCACCGTCATCCCAACACTTGGAAACCTTGAGAGCTGGTACGGCACGAGTACTACGGAACGGTAGTGTGCGACGGGGGAAAAGTATCTTCAGCTCTCAGTCAACGTAGTCGACTACGTTCGGGACACACGATTTTGGCAAAGAGTGACTGGATTAGGTAAGTTTTACTGAAAGGGACAGGAGACTAGCTAGCTAGACTAACTCTATGAGGTACACTGAAACTCTAGCTAGCTAAAAGATCAGAGATCTTGTTATTTATTAGGCCTAACCTTGTTAAGGACACGCTAACCCGTGAAGTAGCCCCCAGATACATTTTAAAAGTGCCGTATGGTAGCCACGAGATATTTTTCATAACAGAGACTTTCTAAAGCCAACGCACAGACTCGGTACTTTGTAACACGAAGCACAACCTTCGTAATTCCATTTGTCCCGAGGGTTAAGTTACTAATTAATTAATCGTTCGTAAGCCCCAGACCCAAAGCTCTTCAGCATCCCAGCAACAACTGTAACATTACCTTCGTAATCACACCTGGAACCGGTTCGGGCGAAATCTGCAAACTAGCTAGCTAGTAGATCTGCATGTAACTCTTTCACAACCTCATCTCAACTACTAGTACCGTACAACCTTGTCGAGCACCCTTCCTTCAGGCTCCCTTGTGCCGCACAGGACCAAATTGGTCTCAAGTACCAGTACATAGGTTCACGGGCAAGACTTTGGACTGGCAGACCTACCGTACGGCTGAGAGTCGAGTCATCCCATTCTGTGGCCAGTGCTAACACGGGAAAAGAAGAGGCTGCATCGAGTGCCCAAGCAGGGCAACATCGAAACCAAGGAGTGGGTGGTAAGGTACTGTAGGAGGGCAGGGAGGAGCAAAGGAGCAAGGCCAGGGGAAGAGTCAAGGGCACCACCGTCATCCCAACACTTGGAAACCTTGAGAGCTGGTACGGCACGAGTGCTATGGAACATGTAGTGTGCGACTGCCGAAAAGTATCTTCAGATCTCAGTCGACTCAGTCCACTACATTCTGGACAGGAGACTAACTCTACGAGGCTACTACAGCGTACTAGTAGCTAGCCAGTAGCTAGTACTAGTCTAGTACACTGAAACCAGATCTACCGGTGGTACAAGTAACTCCGAATCTTTCACAACCTCATCTCAACTACCGTACAACCTTGTCGAGCACCCTTCCTTCCATGGCTCCCTTGTGCCTTGCACAGGACGAATTAATTGGTCTCAACTACCAGTACATAGGTGCACGCACAAGACTTTGGACTGACAGACCTATGGCCGAGAGTCGAGTCATCCCATTCGGTGGCCAGTGCTACCCGTAACACGGGAAAAGAAGAGGCTGTATCGCTGTACTAGCTAGTATCTCAACTAGATCTAGCACTAGTTAGTTAGCTAGCTAGTAGAGGACAAAATCTGGCGAGGTTGACTGCTGGGTTGACGACGCGTCAAGAGCTGGTCATATTGGAGAGCTCCAATCGGTCACAAAGTGAGTTGTAAGAATCGAATCCTAGTCTTGGGCTATTAATAGCTACTCAAGTACCACAGACATCTCTTCCCAACATGTCCCAATGGCAAAGAACTCTTCTCATTTGGGTGTGCATAAGCTTTTAGAAGTGCTTGCCTCTGCATCTCACAGGCAAGATAAGCATGGATAAGACCTTGGCTGGCCCTTCACTGCTGGGCTACCGTACCGTACACGTATTTCGAACTGGTATCGATGTTAATGTGCGGGACCAGTGGCTTCAGGAGTAACTCCCGCAACCAAGACGCAGCATACCCCTGTGATGGCCTCCACTCCACTGGTAATTGCTTGGAGTTTTGACACGATCGCGTGAAGGGCCCCGCTAAGGGTAGATGGTTGTTGCCCACCCCAGCCTCCTCGACCCTCGAGCATCCGATCTTCCAGGTTCTAAAAGGGAGCTATTTTTCTAAACGGTCATGAAGCTGCCGGTCACGTAACCAACCTTGGAGTAACCTGGTCACATTTTGCCTTGATTTGTTTCTTGTAGTAGCTTGGAGGCAAACGAATGAGGCTCTAAAGCTAAGGAAACCACTGCAAGAGCACTCCGCGATACCCCCATCATATCCTCTACCTAGCTAGTATCTCCTTATCTCCTTCTCACCCAACACAATTGACCATTAGAAGCAAGCAATCAATCAATCTGGCCAAATTGATTGATTATCTTTCGCGTGTATCACATACAAGAGTCCATACACAGATCCATCCATCACACGATTGTTCCGAACAGTAGAGGATGAAGCGACATCAGAAGGTTGACGGAGACGAAGCCGATTCTAAATCCAAACAGTTGGGTATGGATGGCATCAACGGTGAAGTGGAAGATGGCGATGAAGCCGATTCCATCTCCAAATTCGTCGATACCGACTCGTATGTATCGAATAATAAAAAGTTGGATGGGGACGACGCCCAGTCCAAATCCAGATTTGAAGACGATGATACAGAATCCAAGTCCTCTAGTAGTATCCTTACCAAAACGTCGGTGTTCACTACCAAGTCCACCACCACGGCTGTCACTTGCGTAGAGGATTTGTTGGAAGGAGGTAACTTGGTGGCAGGAGACGCCCATGGCCGCCAACCCACCCGACGAAATACCCTCTTTGTGATGGAACTGCCCGGCCGTCTGCAAAGAAGACCTGCTATCCAGCCTACTCGACTGTCGTTTCCAGGTGCCTTTCGCATAGGCAGCAACAGCAACAATGATGTTATTAGTGACTCTGGCAGTGGTCGACAATATCAAACCTGGCTGGCACGGCAAAATCCCGATGCCCCCGACAGCATCATTTTGGTTCCACGGGCATCCTTGGTCAGTGACGATGCTAGCGTCTCCTCGTTGGGAACTGGTCCAGGACAACAACAGTATATCTTTGAAGCATCTTTGGTTCGAGGAAACATTGCCCCGGAAGACGCAGTCATCATGAGCCGTCGAAAGGTGAAAGTCATCTTGGTTATAATAGTCGCCCTGATCCTTTCCTTGGCAACGGCCTTGCTCATTGCCATGACACAAATGGATCGGACTGTTCCGCTGGCAACATTTGCCCCGGGGAACGGATCTGCTACGGAAGCTCCCCGGGCACCTACCAGTACGGTACCGGTACCGGTACCTGTGACAGTGAATTTACCTGGCCCAGAAGTTTTCACCACGATCCCGTCCACAACAACTGCTTCCAGTACTCCTTCAACAGAATCTCCAAGTGGGCACTCCACCGCAGAATCGGCGGGTATTCAGAATACGGACTCACCATCGCCCCCCAACGCCCCCAACTTGGAAGGAGAAACATTGGCTAATTTTGACGGGGTGCTGCAAGAAGGAGGGGACCACGGAGATGACGGTCCCATCACGGTGATTAGTGCGGATACAATACCGCCTCTTCCAAGTTCACATCCCACCTCTGATTCGGACTACGAAGATGAATATAAGCCATCCACCCAGCCATCTGTCACCCCTTCCAAGATCCCATCAGTGGCCCCGTCAGAGGTAGTAACCTCTTTGCCAACCAGGGAAATCACTTTTCTGGAAGCACTGGAAGCGTTGACACCCACTCCGGTCCAACCAACACCAACACCGACCTTGGAACCGTCAGGGACGCCAACAGACGTGGAAACTACCAACAAGCCATCCTCCACTCCAAGTTTGCCTCCAGTCAAGCCTCCCACTGCATCCACAATTTCACCAGTGCCACCAGTCAACATTCCATTCCCAACTACCGAGATCCCCTCCAGGCAACCCGCTACTGTTCAACCTCTTCCATCCACCCTTCCCCCTTCCACGGATCCACCAACAACAGACCCTCCACAACAATGCCGCTTTGTTGAATGGTCCAACGTTTAGACCAGTCGGCATCACTGTCAACACACTGACGATGAGTCCCAAGCCATCTATGCAACCTCAATCGCATCAACCTACCTTTGCACCCACCAAATCTCCAAGCTGGAGACCCACTCTCAGACCAAGCAGCACACGAGAGCCCACAACCTCCCCGACCACAGAGGAACCCACGGACAGCCCCACTTTCAGGCCATCACTGAGACCAACGAGAAGGCCTGCATCGCCAGGACCGACACGTCGTCCGAGCCCGCAACCCACTCCTGGTCCAACTCCGGAGCCCACGCCAGAACCAACCTTGGAACCGACTGTTCCTCCAATCACAGACAGTCCAACCACCAAGCCAAGCCAATTTCCCACGTCAGAGCACCCTACTGACGCCCCAACTGTCAGTCCAACCTTGCATTCTTCGGAGAGTCCAACTGCAGACCAATACCCAGCTGTATCCGTCAACGCAGCATTTGCCTATGCACCTCCATCGACAGCAGTACCATCTGGTAGCCGCACAGAAATTCCTACGCAAAGCCCAACTGGCCAGGAGGAATACAAGCAGCTTGCAGCGGGAGCAACTACAACTACACCCACTGAAAGCCAACGGACACCAACGAACTCCTAGGCACACCAACAGGCACACCAACAGGCACACCAACAGGCACACCAACTGAAACTCCTACAGGCACACCAACTGAAAGTCCAACAAGCACACCCACTGAAACTCCTACAACTACACCAACTGAAGGCCCAACAGGCACTCCCACAAACAGCCCTACAACTACACCAACTGAAAGCGCAACAAGCACTCCCACGGAAAGTCCACAATATGGTGCGCTTGCTGCCTCTGCTTTTAAAGAGACTGCCCCCATAGAAAGTCCAACCAGCAGTCCCACGCCAGCCTCTACTGAAAGCCCCACCGAAAGTCCAACCAGCAGTCCCACACCAGCCTCTACTGAAAGCCCCACCGATAGTCCAACAGGCAGTCCGACACCAGCCTCTACTGAAAGCCCGACTGAAAGTCCAACAGGCAGTCCGACACCAGCCTCTACTAATAGCCCGACTGAAAGTCCAACAGGCAGTCCACACCAGCCTCTACTGAGAGCCCCACGGAAAGTCCAACCAGCAGTCCCACGCACCAGCCTCTACTGAAAGCCCGACCGATAGTCCAACAGGCAGTCCAACACCAGCCTCTACTGAAAGCCCAACTGATCGTCCAACAGGCAGTCCGACACCAGCCTCTACTAATAGCCCGACTGAAAGTCCAACAGGCAGTCCGACACCAGCCTCTACGGAGAGCCCAACTAATTGGCCCACCAAAGTGCCCACAGCGGAACCAACGACAGCTCCAACACTATATCCTACCGGTACACCAAAACCAATCATCTCAGCTGACCAGCTTTCTATTACTTTCGGCGGCAACCTTCGCCCGAAAACGAGTGCGCCAACAGGAACGCCAACTGATGCGCCAACTTCCGAACCAACATCAGATCCAACTCCGGAACCTACACCAGAACCTACACGCAACAAGCCTGGACATGACAGCTCGGGCGGCGACGATCAGGACGAAGATAATGACCACGACGAAGATGAGGGAGATTCTGATGGTGGCGAGGAGGACTAGCCTAAGAAGCTCAGTCGCGGGATTCTGCACTATTTTGGCCTTGTACGGGGATTTTCTCCAGCTAGTTCGTGCATTTTTACATAACTGTATATTCATCCCAACCAACCTCTAGAGGGACCAACAGCAACAGCCACCATTCATACATTACTGTTTTAATGTATCCTTTGTTCCGAGCTAGGGATTGTTTTCATACCTAGCTAGATAACTTCTGTACTGTGATGTTTTCATTTGGAGCTGTGCAGGTCTGATGTGACTTACAGCCTCACTGGCTTTTGACGAGCAGGGGGAGATGGAGCTTGTCACTCAAAGCCTCGCTGTCTGCGATTTTGCGATTTTGCTCGGGGGCTGGTTTCCTGATTTGTCTGTCACATGTCTCATACCGTACCTCTCTTCTTTGTGCCTGTATGTACTAGCTAGTATCATGATTTGGCTGCCTCAGATCCTCGTTTTATCCTTATCATTGTTTCTACCAAGATGTTATGCACAAGGAACAAGTTGCCGAAAGAGCACCATCTTCCATTCCTGGAACAGTGCTCCCCATCAAGCTGGATATTGGCAGAGTGGTTTTCCAGCAAGTTCGCAGCAACAGATTCATGGAAAACCACCTGTAGGTCTCTGTGAAGGGACGATTTCAGTACAAGATGATGGTCAAATCTGCATCCGTGGGAGGGTATCTTACGAGCAACTAGCGGAGAGACTGGGGAAAACGATATGGGGTGTCACGAGCCCTGGCATTTCCATTACAGGGCACCTTGTGTCAGGCACTGGCTACGTCATGTACGGGCGGCATATTCGACGGCTTTATGATTTCGTAAGGTCCTACTCGATTGAGGGTATCCTTTACCAGGCAGATCACAACATATACGACAATCTATTGGCGGCAAGTCGAGGCTCCATTGACGGTGTTTGTTTGGATGCTTCATTTGTGCAAGAGGAAGAGTGGTACTCCATCTCTCATGAGATTTTTCCAACACATGGCTCGGTAGATCTGGAGAGAATGTTGCAGGCAAATGTGATCTACATTAACTCGGGGAGCTTCAGTGCAGAGTACTACAGAGAAGCGGAGCCTACTCTCTTTACGGGGCATTCTTTGATGCGGATAGTCATGCGCATGGTGAAAGAAGTCCCTCAGTCATTGTACACATTAGTCCCAGGTCTGTCCCATACTGGAACCGTCAGGCGATTAATCCATGGAACCTTTTCTACTGCAGTCGTACCTCAGCCGTTGTTGGCCCCGGAAGATCCAATAGAAGGGTTGCAGATTGACGTCGCCGCAGACAAAATGAAGTTGGCGTTGCAAAATGGTCTGTTCACCGGAAATGACCAGGTGCCCCCTTACTTCTTTGCCATGATCAAACCACTTCCAGCTAGCGACAATCCTCATTCTTGTTGGCAAGGACCAACGGTCACGCTCGATATCCAAGCGCCTATGGGCTGGGGGGCTCAGCTAGATATGTTTGTGAACTTGGTGGTGTACCGACATCTTGTGGCAGTGAATGCTACCGTAACGATGCATTTCGGCAAGCGCCTTCCGCCCAACTCGAAAGTTTTGGCCGCAGCACTCGAGAGGTACCATGAGTGTGGCGCTGAAGTAGACGTTGATGCCGACCCTTGCTATCACCCAATGTGCAAACGAACAGTGGTCCCCACAGAATTTGAATATCCTCCTGCCTACTATGCTTGAGGGGGTCTGTAGGTGAAAGAGGAATTGGGAGGAAGATGTCCCAGCTAGCTATTAGTTCAACTGTATCACCGTGCGTGTTAGGTTGTCACGTTGCCATGTATGATTGCGCTGATACGATAAAAATCCTCGTGACGGGATATTCTTGTCAATGCTCCAATCTAGCCGCGTCGATGCCGTCATGTGCGTAACAGATCTCCAAGCATATTCTATCCTGCTTGGCTAGAGGTATCGATACGTCTGTAGTCGATAGCTGCATGCCATGTGCGATGGCTGTTTGTACAGATCGGCTGCCAATCTTCAATTGCAAGCATCCATCACTTTCAGAACCGAGATAGCTCTATAGTTCTCCTCCAACCTCGGAGGATCTGTTGAAGATGTTCCCGCCCACAGGCAGCGATTCATTTCCAGCTTTTTGGACAGAAGGAGCCGTTGCCGCCGAAGAAGCCGTACCCCAAAAACTGGATTGATACTGCGTTGGTGCCAAATCTGCATTGTTTCGATACTCCGCATAATGATCAGCCACGTAGTACCCTCGAGGGCTGAATTGGCAGTAGATGCCTCCATAATCAGCCGTGCATTCACACTTGTGGTAGGTGCTGGTGGTGCCATTTTGATTCTGAAACTGGAACTCTACACAGCTACCCTTTCTCCCGCACACTGCCGAGGACTTGTCCTCGCAGGGGACGTCGACGCATTCCAAGGTGCCTTCCGTCGGAAAAGAGAGGTCGGAGCCCGAAATTCCATCGGAAAATGATTCGCGAACTTCATACATTTGCAGCCCTGTACCAGTGTAGCTCTCAGTCATGGCACTGGACCAGCGCTGCTCCAGACCCACAAGGTTGTCCCAGAATGCATGATTCTGAGCCTGTAAGTTGAGGGTGTACGGCTCTTCGCACCAGTATGTAAACACCCACTTGCGGCCGATGTACACATACGTTTCATATCGATGACCCGTGGGGCAGGTTCCTTCGTCCGTTTCAAAGTGGCGATAGTAGATTGGTCGGCCGTAGGCTGTCAGAGGAGATCCATTCTCTTCTGCCAAATATAACGGGCCCATGGTTTCGTACTCGTAGGAAGACGCTCCATAGTTGATCCACTGCATCGCGGGGCAAATTGTCGTTTTCACTTCACATCGAGTGCCCTGCCAACCTTCGTTACAAGAACATCTTCCATCGACGCAGGCACCATTCAAGCTGCATTCGGCATCAATGTCACAATTATCTCTGGTAATGACAACCGCTGTTTCACTGATATCACCAGTGTAGATTTTCCATCCCGCAGCGGGCACACGTTCCAAATCGAACTCTTTAGTTTGTTGGGAAATGGCCAACCATCCCCACTCACACTGATCCAACTGTTTTCGGGCCGTGCCCAGAGCTCGAATGGTGAATACCCAAGCTTCCAATTCAGAGCAATAATAAAACATTCCACACGTAGGATCGGTTTGGCATTGTGTCGCAGTTGCAGCGGCGGAGGTTGCTTCGTAGTAGATTGGTCGCCTCTCGTGTCTGTCCAACAGGCCATTGTCTTTGTAGGACACATCATAGCTGCCACTAAAGTAGGCATAGTTCAACAAAATACCTTGTTGTGATGTCATGCCGCGTTGACTTCCCTCAAATTGAAACTCGGTCGAGTCGGGTAGAATCAATGTTTCATCTTGAAACCACACGGCCAATGTGGGCGACAGTTTTTGTTCGAGATAGAATCCATTGGCTTGCCCGATGCGTAGATTGGCCCAAAAACTGAGCATGGGTACAAACGTGAGACACAAGAAGATAGTGATCAAGGCTATCCACCATCGTTTGGTATCTCTTCGAAGGCGCATGCTGACGGATTCGACCTTGATGGTCATTCGGTGCAGGCCCTTTCCGAGGTATCCCCATCGGGCCAGTTTGAATACCATATTGTCCAGATACGAAATGAACTGTCCAACGAGGCATGGAATCACTAGTGTCAGGTACCACCAACAATAATACTACCGGTATCCAACGTGACATTTTAAAAAGTCGATGATACATACCTCCATGGCGGCAAAGTTTTCAAAAATGGAGAGTACACTGTCGGACTGGACAATAAAGTAGAAACTGACCATGACGACAAAGAGTCCTTCAATGAGTCGCAGTATATTGGAAAGCCACCATTTTTGCACCACGGCACCGGGGAATCGCTGTGTGATTTGTTCGTCGTGTCCCACGACCATTAACGCCTTGAGCGATACAAAAATATCTTCTTCTTTGAGTGTGGCCACCATGAGCGATACAATCTGCGCCGCCAAGACTTGTGGCGGGATTTCAATGGGAGGATCAATGGGGAAAGGCACCATTTCATCAAAGACGGGAGCATCGGATGCCAGATCGGTCAATGCCAATGCCAGAATCATGAGTTGCAGGCAAAAGACAAAAATGCTGACCGCAAAGGTCAAGGAACACGGTCGACACAGATACATGAGACTAAAGAGATCTTCTTCCAAATTAAAGGTCTCTTCCTTTTCTCGTTCTTCGCGAGATGCATCTCGCTCTGTCAGACCTTGATGTGGATTGTCATTATCATTATTAGCTTCATCCTGGAAATCATTATTACCGTCCTCATCGTCATTGACTCGCGTGGACATTCGACTGTTGTTTAATTTGGAACTATCGTAGGAGTACGATGTATTTTGATCGCCAGAACGAAACACGGACAGCCACGGCATACTGGAATGGATGAGGGGTAGCAAGCAGAGAGTGGTGCCAATAGAGGGAAGGGAAGGTCGATTGAAAAAAGGAAGCCAAGATGCAATCAAGCACAGCTTTTGGGCTTGGACTGGAAGAGACCAGTCTGTTTGTGGTTGTTGCTGCTTTCCTTGATCACTGACGATGGAAAAGCAACTGTGTGGGAAGGTACCGGTGGCACAAAATGTACGGTACCGGTACTACATTTCTGCAACAGTAGTTGCACAGCCTCAGTATGTGCTTCCCCTACTACTATGGGGATCTTACATACTGTCAGCATCCATGAGGGTATGCTACGTAGAAAAGGTATGGTATTGGCAGTCATTGAAACAAAGATCCTCTCAATAAGACTCTCACTATTAAATAAACTGCAACAGAGAAGATATAACACCGGCATTAAGACCAACCACATACTGAGAGGATTCCGATTTCGCCTTAAGTAACAACCAACATACCTGCCAATTCCCACATCCGATCCAACCGTTGCAGAAAGATACTCTCAGGTACGAATCAATCGTTAGTTTACCATACTCAAGCAAGCAATCGTACAGTCGTTGCCGTATACTCAAGCCAAAGAGGCAAAAAACGCCGAAATCCCGTAGGACCGTACCCTCCGAACACTACTTGCTAGCTGTCGAGTTCAGTCAGTCAGTTCAGTTCAGTTCAGTTTTCCTCATTATTTTGGATCCTTCAACTCTATAAAGAAGCTCTGCCAAAATTCCAGCTCAACCAAACCAACATTTCCTTTCTTGACCAAACAATTACTCCACCATGGCCAACAATGCCAATGATGGAGCCTTTGGGTTGGAAGACGTGCCGGATTTGCCTGAAGCACCCACGGAACAGCCCAAGTACAACCGGGATTACCATCGACTCTTCGTCAAATTCATGAGCTGGCTGCACAAGAGGACGTACACCAAGGCGGCTCGCTTCCAACCCAGTGCTTTGGCCGGCATCCAACCACACCACGTTGCCGACTACTTGAAATGGCGTGCGTATGGTACGACGGACGTTGACTTCAAAGACCTCGAGCAGAATCCAACTTGCCGCTCCTCTACTCTTGAGCAAGACAAGAAGGCTATTTCCTTTTACATGCCCATCAAAGGTGCCACATGGAATGGAACCTCCGGCAATCCAACCAAGTCCGATCCTGTGAACGAAGTGGTCAAGGAAGTCAAGAAAGCGGAGACTCAACACCGCGGCAAGAAGTCCTGTGCCACCAGGGATTTGACGGAAACAGAGTATCGCAAGGTGGTCCATGAACTCTACGGCAAAGGGAGCTTTGAATCGACCATCCGTACAGCCTGCATGTTGAAGCAGCAAGTCCATCTCATCACCAGGACGGACGACATCTCCAAGTTGAAGTATTCCGACTACAAGCCGCATCCAGACTTCCCTTTTGCGCTCAGTTGCAAGGTGCATTGGTCCAAGAATATTTCAGAAGAACGACAATGCCCCGACCAAATCATTCTTGGGTCGATGGATACCGACTTTTGTGCCATGCTCGGATTGGCGAATTACATGGAGGCGTCCTTCAACTACGGGTATGGCGCCGCTGGTCGGGAAGATGCATTCCTCTTTACTCCCGAAAGCGATCCCAAGTTGGCTCCCAAGCACTGCAACGCAGCCTACCGCAACATTCTCAAGGCTGTCTTTTTGTCGGCTCCATTTCTGGCTGTGGCGCTCATTGCTGGTGTTCTTGGGAGTCACAGCATTCGGAAGTTTGCTGCAACTCTGGCAAGAGGGATGGGTGCTACTGCTGACGAAGTTGACATGCAGGGGATTACCACAGGATTTGCCATTGCCCACAATGACCCCCAAAAGGGCAAGATCCGACTGACACTCAAGATACCGTACTGTAGTGGGACGGTAGACAAGTCTAGAATTATATTATGGACTCAGTAGCTCTACTAGCTAGCTACAGTAGCACTCTGAGTAGGTCATACCGCTACTTGCACAAGCAATTCAGCAAAAAGTGACTGAAAGTAAGAAGTACGCTCACTCACAAACTGCCAAATCGTCAGTAGTTATTTTAGGTGCCTTGATTGCTTGTCGTATCAGTGCCGTACGGTACGTCTATCCGCAATCCTCTTTTTCCTTTCAACTAAGGGCTTCCGTTTAGAGAGCGTCGTTGCGACTACGAGAATGGCCCAGCCACAAATTTGTTGCTTCCGACGCAATCACTGGCAACAGGATTGAAATCGTATGCTACATGTCTTGGAAAGAGGCACCCAGACGACATACGGTATGCTTCTCTTGCTGATGGCTTCTGATGTGATGCACCTCCGCCTTGACCTGGTTGGAAGGATCACGTTATTGGTTTCAGCGGCCAGCACCAACACCAAAATGTTTCATGGAACGAACCAGTTGGCTCCGACCGAGGGATCCGGATGGCAACCTTCGTTGGCAAGACCATTCGTACCGTTATGCTGTACATGGTTAGTTTTCAAACTGAATAGCGTGCACACTGCACCTACCAAAAATAAATAAATCAAAGTCTATTAACGGATTCAGACAAGCTGTGCACACTGCACCTACAGTAGGTAAGTGACATTGGATAAGAGCGAGAGACGAGATGGGGAGTGGGATTTTCTCTCCACCCCAACAGCCAACAGCTGCTGTGCTGCCTCGTCCCGGTGGCAACAGCTTGTGGCAGCCTAGCTAGTAAAGATGATGCATGGAACCTGGAGTCCCCTTTCTCTTTGTCCCGGTGGCAACCGCTGTGGCAGCCTAGCTAGCTAGAGAAAGATGATGCAGGGAACCTCGAGTCCCTTTCTCTTTCTTGTCCCGGTGGCAACAGCTTGTGGCAGCCTAGCTAATAACTAGTCTAGCTAGCTAGTAAAGATGATGCCTGGAACAGCTCCTAGCTAGCCTGGAACCTGGAGCCCCTTTCCTTTATCTCTATTAATACCACCAAGGATCCGTTGCATGGTGGTTGATGCTTACGGTATGGCAATCCCACAACCGAAGAAAGAGCTTTCAACGATGGTCTATAAGCGCGACTACCGGTAGCCGGAAGCCGGAAGGAGCTCCGGAAGGTTGGTGTACTGTGTACTACTGTGTGAGGTGATCACTGGTTCTTGTCCTTAGACGGGACAGAATGACAGAATTCAAAAAGCAAACTCACTGTGAGGATGCTGTACTGGTACCTGGTACCTGGTACCTGGTATGGTACCGGTACACCAAGTACCGGTGAGCTGGGGATGGAAACTGCAATCATATCATCCTCTTAAATCCAGCTAGAAAGTGCCGTAGGTGCCATTTAAGTCATGGAACAAGAAAGTACTCTGGAGTATTCGGAACATGTTTCCCGGTAGCCTTTGTTCCAGAAAAGATTTATGATATGTGCCCCGGAATTCAAATTTCCCCCAAGCCGTTCTCAGTACTGGGTCCACGCGCTCAGTTTGCACCAAAGTCGTTGATAAAAGTTAAAAAATTGGTTCAGCGATCGCTCGATCGCTCCACGCTCCAACGGTGCTTCAATTTTCGATGTCATTTTTTGACATCTTTTGCACCATGGTGACGGATTGAGAAGTTTTGGCGCAAACATTCATCATACATCCCCAACAAGCTATCTATCACCAGTATTGTATTGGTCTGCGTTGACTATTTCTCTGTCGACACTGATATACTATAGTTGTAATAGATGCGCAGATAGCTAGTTACTGAATCAGCAAGGCGATAGGAGACAAGATAATCTAATCAAAATGAAATTCCATTGTCGTAGCTTCCTGATAACAGCACTGGTCTTCCTCGCCCCCTCTCTTGAGCTATCCCATGGCCAAAGATTACCATTATCCGAGCACCAGCATTATCAACTGGATAACCACTTCAGCATGACACGGCTGATAAGGCAACCGAGTCCGCTGACATTGCGTGTCACGGGGTATCACCACACTTTGGTAGCCTCTGTTCCGAGAAACTCCACAGCTACAAAACTTAACACCCAAAGACAACCCTCTTCCAGAACGAGTGATCCGACTGGATCCGTTCCCAATGACAACCATGTAAGGCGGCGGAGAAAAGAGCAAGCAGTGTTTCCAACCTCCATGGGTCCATTGAAGACATTCTATTACTTTATTCAAGCACTGGGTAGATCCGATAACTCGGGATGCAAGCATCCCCAACCGTCATTTATTGCGACCTGCCCTGTAGGTGCCTTTATTGTCTCTCAATCCTCCCGCAGTGAATGGAACTCACGGCTGGATTGTATGCAGCTCTCGGACACGCAAATACAATGCACGCCCAAAGAAATCGACCCACGCTATGACGGTCAAGATATTGACTTGGACGATCAAAATGGTGTCACCTTGGCGTGTTATGGTCCCATGACGATCAGCGACACTGGAAATAGTGGCGATGAAGACCACAAGCAGCAGCAGCAAGCCCACGACAACCTGCAAGTATCCGTGCAGGTCATCGAAGGGACGTATGAATGCGACAAGGCATTAGAGGCTCGGACCATGCCCAATCCCACGGTCGTGTCGGGTGGAAATATCTATCAGACTGTAGCGATTCAAAAGCAATGTTCCAGCTCGGAACAAGATGGCGAAGCTTGGGTGTTTGTCAAACCAACCTGTGGCATCGCGGGGGGCATTGCGCGAGATAATATTGTAACAGCCGAAGACATGCTGCAAGAGACTGTTGTACCGATTCAGTATGGCAGTAGCAGCAATGGCAGTAGCTATGATTACAACAACACTCAAGATCGGAGCGATCGGATTCCCACCATTACGATTGCTCATTGCGAAATTGAAGATGAGTGTCAGGTGGAGTATGTATGTGCCAATTTTACATGCAGTGGTTTGACGTCCTGTGATGTGGATATCCCTGACTTTGTTATCAATAGCACATCTGACAGCACTACCACGTACATGCCGGGTGAAGAATGCCTGCCACGAGACTTTTCCATGGAGCTAGACAATGGAGAGGTCTGCGAGTTCAATCTCATGTGCACCAGCGATATTTGCATCGAAGGAACGTGTCGTGCCGAGAGATTGAATGATTTCCAAGTGTGCGATGAGGGTGAGGACTGCATGTCGAGTGCATGTGGCAAACATCCAGAGGACACTACGGTTGCCGGGAGCATCGAAAGCGAAGACATTCCAAAAAAGATCTGCTGTCCCAGTGGCGGTACCTTTGGGCATAGTGGGGACTCCTTCTGTACAGCATCGCAACCCATTGGCGCTGCCTGCCACAAGGATGATATGTGCGATAGTGGAATATGCATCTTCCAGACTTGCCGAGAGAATCTACTCGATGATGGCATGGAATGTGAAGAGCCCTCCGATTGTTTGAACAGCGTTTGCGCCAACTATCACGATCCAAATGGTGCGCAAGAGTGCTGTCCAACAGGTGACAGCATTCTTTTATCAGAAGGCGCTAAATGCTCCAACCGGACCGCCGGTGATACTTGTGAAAACAATGTCAATTCACTCTGTCAAAGCAACATTTGTGTTGAAGGACTCTGTCTCGCGACGCAGCAACCACCAGGGCAAGTTTGTGACAACCACTTTGATTGTGAAAATGATGCTTGTGCCTTGGAATCAGCGGATGCCGAAGCGCCCTACATCTGTTGCTGGACCGGAGCCTACGAGTTCTTGCCATATCACGAGACGGTGACAATTCGGACAACTCATACCGGTTATGAGATCAGCTCCAACTCTTTGCGTGTTTGTACCGGACAACCAGTTGGGTCTTCCTGTGGCACGGACGTTCAGGATCTTGATGAATTGTGCAACAGTGGAATTTGCGTGGATAGTGTCTGTGAGGCGGCACGACTTGCCCCCGGGTCCGTCTGCGCAGAAAACGAAGATTGTGACAATGACATTTGTGCGTTTTCGTCTCTGGACGACACTGCTGGCAAGGTTTGTTGCGAGTCAAACGACTCCAAAAGTATATATGTAGAAGGCAAGCTACGGCTGAAAGATGTCTGCACAGGGCAACCGTTGGGAGCTCAGTGCGGAGTTCACGATGCAGATTCCCTGTGCGAATCTGGCGCTTGCTTCAGTGGAGTATGCGCAGTCCCCGTGTTTCCGTGACGAGAACTACTCCTCCAGCCGGCTTTTTGACTCGCGGGCATGCTTGTAGAGAGTACTGAGAATGTGTCTTGGGCTTTTTGGGCGACACGGAGCTATAACAGATAATAGAGATGACAATGACTACATGGATATTTATGAGAAGTGTACGTAACGTAGGCCGTGTTTCAATGGCAGAAATGTCGGCGTTTGATTTCAACTCCGCTTTTGAATGAAACAAACGAAGACCAGCAGTCCTGGAAGACACGCCCTTTGAACACAGATATAGCCCGCAACAAAAGAATAGAAGTCTAGAGTACCTATTAGTTGGCACCACCAGTCTCAGTACAGCCAGCGTCTCTGGGACGCTCCAGCATAAACGAAAGCCTTACTGGCTGTCGTAGGAAGCGTGGACTGCCTGCCAAATGCAAAAAAGGTTATGATTCTATCTAGTCTAGAGTGTCTATAAGTTTATGATTCTTTACAAGTTTTTCTGTCGTTATCTGCGGTGGTGTATCTTCTTTTGTGACTTGGCCAGGGCTACGCGGAAGTGGCCCTTCATCTCCTTGATCGCAAGATTCGCCATTTTCTTGCACTGAACTTCGACGAAGGCGAAACCTTTGTTTCGGAGGACAACGACATGAACGCCATGGGCGCCATGCCCATATCTAGAGAAGATCCGTTCTAAGGACAACTTGCGTTCGTCCAGCTCAGCCTGAGTTTTGGCTTCGGTCAATCCCCAGATAACAAGCTTCATTGGGATATTCGATATCAGGTCCGATGAAGGGCGGGCAGCCTTGGTGGCTGCTTTCCTTTTTCGTGGAATGGATAGAGGAGCCATGGTTCTTGTCTTTTGGTGCGTGCACGTGCGGTTCCGCCACCTCGAAGGCCAAACCGTTGCTTAGCTGGAGCGAGATTCCAACGCTTGACCTAGCTAGGGTGTGATACTGTTTTGTTGATATGTCTGACTAGACTAACCACTAAGCCACAATGATGTCTGTGGCTCAGTCTTAGCGCTAAGTCTGAGAGGCCAGCCTACATACAAACAGCAGTGATGCAAACGGGCCATGGAATTCGTGAAGTGTTCCCAGCCACGTCTGGTACCTGTACCTGGTCCCGTTCCGTTAGACGGCTCGCTGGTTCAGACCCGGCTCTTTTACCTCAGCTGCCAGGTTCTATTTCCCAAGCCACCGCTATGTCAGATGATCGGATGCTGGGGTGCTGGGGTATCCAACCTCAAACCGAGGATATTCTATCTAACTTTTCCATTCAATCACGGAATAATTAAACTCAACTAAAAAGATTGCACATCGAGTCAAAGCGTCGGATCTGTCCTCACGCAACTGGAAGGCATTTTGTCTGAGCTCAGAGCATTGGACGAGAGAAGACCGTACAGCCCAGAAATGCCGGAGAAAAGGCCACACAAAGGGCTCCAGGTGGCGAACGGACCAAGACATGGCTGCCGACTTATACAAACTTAATTTCACTAGTAAGCAGCACACATGGTTTTTCCCGTCATTTGATTTCCCCCCTTCATCCCTACTTTACTAGCGCGTGACAAACCTTCCAAGAGTTGTAATTGGGACCAGTGGTGCCAGAAAGTCAGCCGATTCACCATCTTCAGCGGACTCATCTTCTTCTGGTATCGGTCGTACTGAGGGCTCACCCGCGAATGAAGCGTCGTCGACATCACGACCATGTGCTTTGTAGAATGCAAGCTGGTTTTTCAGTGTCAACAACTCGTCCGCTTGGATCCGGTTTTCCTCTTCCAACTGTTCAACGTTTTGCAGGAGGAATTGGAAGCGTTCGTGGTTGGAAGACCTTGAGCGAGTGCTGAGCGCTCGCTCAACGTCTTCCTGTTCACTGTCACTGACATCGTTGTCTGACGCGCCTTCGTCGTCAAGCACAAGCCAACTTTGAGATATTTGATCAGTTGCCGTATTAATGATTGTTGAAACCCGCTGAGAAACCATCTTCCCAGCTTGTGCAATCGTCCCACGCCTTGAAACCTTCCTTGAAATCCTTTTGGGGGCGCCGTTGTTCTCATCATTGGTCATCACCAACCCGTCGCCTTCGTCTTCGCGACTCGGCGTTTCGGTGTCTCTATTCGTTTTGCTTAATGGTTCGGCTGAGGGTTCACCTGGAGCTGGAGCGGATGTAGGCTTTTTTGCAGGCAAAGCTTCCTGTGTCGGAGCGTACGCAGCGATGTTCCTGACCGCAGGCATGTGCTGTAGATGCATATGGCTGGGAGGGAGAGAAACGCCACTTGAGCTGGTTACGCTCATGGCAACATCCTCGCCGACAAACTTCGGAACGAAATATATAACCACGGTCATGAGGGTGTCAATGGAGAAGACGAAGCTGCGCACATAGGCAAGGATGGATTCTCGAAGCTCCGATGCCAAGATGTAGGTGAACATTCTCACCAGAACGAAGCCCAAGTTGGTGTACACAAGCAGTGCGAGGGTTGATGTTTCGTTGAATCCCTTCGCCTTGATGTTTCGCATCTGCGTGGGCAACGAGGAAGGAAATGGGCCTGTCAGCCCGAGCTGTCCCGTCTACCAGAGTTTTGCTGTGTACAGTGGCTCTACGTACCTGAAGTGCCAAGATTGACGTCCATAGAAGCAAGAAAGCGTTCCAGCCCACACTGAAGTACGACCAGACCGTGGAATTGGAACCACAGACATCGACAACCCAGACAATGGTCTCGCCGTGTTCATTTTTCTGGTCGGTTCGCTGGTATTCCGTCACAGCTAGTGGTGGATCGAGGACAGTCCAGAGAGTGAGGAAAAGAACGACAAGCAAAGTGACCAGGAGAACGAGCCCGTAGAGGAAGTTCCTGTTGATCCTTGCTCGTCGCATCTTTTGCCCAAGGGACAGGACACGGTTGACGGCAGACACCTTTACAATCAATGGAACCAGCTCCAGAGTGAAGCCCTGTTCAATGGAACGGATGCCAAAAAGGCGCATTGTCAGACACGCACAGCTGCCACACTGCACAAGTTCCCCCACAAATCTACTCACCAAGTTGATGAGCCAGATTTCCAAGATACATGTAAAGTCCGAAGTGGGAACACCCACAACAATGGCACCGAGTCCAATGAAAAGACATCCCACCAAGACCAGCACCAGAAATTCAATTTGTGCGTATTTGATCAATCGACGATCTTGGTGTTGGTACACCATAAAGAGCGTCCACAGCACCAACATGACGACCAAGATACCCAGAGTGACGGTGGAATACATCAAGGCGCCCATGTCGTTGGTGACGGAAAAGGTTCGAGGATACGTGCGAGGGACCAACTCTTGCATGTAATCCATATTTTCGGACGCCCACTCACACACCGCTTGCCGATGATCGGGAAAGTCCTGGAGTTTGTTGAATATTTCATTGATTTGCAATTCGGAGAGTTCGTATTCTTTCAATACGTCATAGCTCGGGCTATGTACGGCCTTGGGCAGCTCTCTGCTTCGAGCAGTGTCATGGACGGTGGTGCTAATGGTCTTTTGTAAAATTTCGGGAGGATCCCCGCAGGCACCCAAGGGATTATCTCCTCTCCGTGTCGCCAAATTTGCGTCGCAGTCATCTTCCTGGCGGGGTCGTGCTGCGAGGCATTCCGCCGAAGGATTGGGCATGGTAACGGGTGTGAATTCGGCGTCAGTCCCCTTGAATTCTCCCTGCAGATAGTGGGGTGACCACCAATACATAATGACTGTGTACGGTATACGTTTATGTTGGTGAGGGCCAAAGCGAGCAAGTATCCCATCACGTATCGAAAACGATCTTACCGTCTGATTTGGTGGCATTGGCAGCGTTCCAAATCTCTTCCAATTGCTCGGGTGTATAGCCTCCACTATCGAACACGTCTGTGGAGAGACTAATGTTGAGATGGTATATTTGTGTTTCAACGGGGGATGACCACCGACAAGGATACTGTGAAGCAAGAAAGAGTGGCAAATGATCCCATGAGTTGCATTCAAAGTCATGCTGCTGCACTACCAACCAAGGCCACGGTATTACCAACCATGCAATGCAATGCAATGCACTTTGCTTGTTTGTTTGTGGCGTGTCACACTACACGTATATACGTACATCGGCAATATGCCCCGTGCAAGTGGTCGGATTCGCGGTGCAATTGTTCTTGTCCGTGGCCCGAAAATGTCCAGTGTAGAAGCCGGGCGCAAACATGCGGTCCTCCTCTTCGCCCGTGATGGGTGCTCTCGTGGCTACACTGTCGGGCGTTTGACAGCCATTTGCGGATACCAGACGGCAGTAGTCTTTCCAGGTTGTCGGCCGTCGAAACCGCTCGGCGAGTATGTGCCGCTTGGCTTCTCCTTGAAGTCCCAAATAATTCAAGAGTCCGGGATCTCGTTGGGCCGTAAATTTGGGCACGTACCAGGCTTCCGTGGCCAACATGCCCAAGCTGGTCGGTGCCTCGAGAATGTCTCGTTCGATATACGAGTCATACGTGGGATGTTTCAAAGAATCCCAGGTTTCCGGGTCAAAATGGGCGCACGGTTGGTCGCTTTGGGCTTGAGTGCAGTCGCCCTCTAGATTGTGGGCGTTTTCAAAGGACTTAAAGTAGATTGTGTCGTTATTGACGGGAACATCAAATGGACTGTCGGGATGGTAAAAATTGAGCTCTAAATTGGGATCTCCCATTTCAATCGAAGTCGGAACATTGAGCAGTTCGGAAAGAATGATTTGGACGATCCAAGATCCCATCATGCTCTATAAAAAGAAAAGAAAGGTAAGGATTGTTGATTCCAAACAACCCATACCCACATACCCATACATGTATGTTACATGTACTTACAGAATGCCAATCTGCGGGACGAATTCGAATTTCGGCATAGTCTGTCGGTGGCGGTCGACACAACCCCAGCGACAGTGCTTCGAGTGGATCTTCGGAATTACAAACCCTCACTTGGCTCGTCAGGTTCTTGCTGTAGAGACATCCCTGCTCATAGAGATTGCTACTACCCGTTCTACCGGTGGTAGTAGCAGAGGCTTGTGCACCCAGACCGCTCGTCAGGGATGCAACCACAAAGAGAATGCAATAGAGGTAGTACCGGTTGTAGTACTGATAGTGCATGTTATAGTTTGGGTCGCTCATTGTTCTACACTGGACGATTGGGCAAAGAAGAACGGTGGAATGAATAGAATAGAATAGAATAGAATAGAATCGCAAGGGAGGAAAGAAGAATGGTGTAATGTGTAATCAGTGAGTGCAAGACCGAGACCAGCACATGGACGAAAGTACATGTAGCAATGGAAGTCCTGACGTGCTGGGAGACATCCACAGTCCGGTTTGAGAGTTGTCCCATGCCATGGCACATGCTCTGGTCTCTGGTGCCACATGCCTTCCGGAATAGAATCAATATTTTTACCGTGACAGAGGGTACCGTAGGGTGATTTTTCCCTCACAAATTTTCACTTAGGCTAAGTGTGTGTAAATCCGCTCAGGCCAAGTGGATTTATGTGAATCACTTAGACTAAGTGTTCTACTTAGCCCAAGCAAAACACTTTGGCTAAGCGATACACTTAGGAGGCTAAGTGATGCTCTCCGAGACATCTTCTCAACAGCACAAGTTCCTGCAGCTTGTTGTATACACAAACTCTGTATTACTGCTGATCCTCATTCACAATAGTAACTATATTGCCAGCAAGTGCTTTGGGGCTATGCAATGAGGGAATGGCGGCCACACCAAATGCACAACTAATGACCAACAACTCTCAGATGGTAGGTAAATACACTGAACATGTATTTGGAAACATCAGGAACATCCAAGATTTTGCAAGAAAGCAACATCATTTGTACATCGGAATGGTACAACTGTACCCACAACTCCTGAGGAGTACTTTCGGACTTCCAGGTGCCCTGGAACCGTAATAATTCTCAATCGTACAGAGTCTCTCTTGGCACTTTTTTGTTGTTGCGTATTTACATTATAGCCAAGGGTGAAAGCCAGATTAATAGTATGCTGCCATGGATGGATGGTACCATCCTCCAGGGAAGTTGCAACCTGAATCTGAATCTATGTTGTAACCCAATTAAACTCTTGTTGCGAAGCTCTTTGAGCAGTTCACAGGAAGCTGAAAGTGGGGGCATGATGGGTGATAGTTGTGTCTCCTTGTGTCAGTGTGTGTGCTTGCTGCAGGGACTTATGTTGTGCTGTTGAGGAGACTTGTGCTATTGAGGAGATGCCTCGAAGAGCATCACTTAGCCTAAGTATTTCACTTAGCCTAAGCGTTTCGCTTAGCCTAAGTGAATTGCTTTGTATGGCATAGCCTAAGTGTATTGCTTAGCCTAAGTGCATTGCTTAGGCTAAGTAAAACACTTAGCCTAAGTGGATTTTCGAGCACTTAGCCTAAGTGAAAATTTGTGAGGGACAAATCATGCTACCCGATACTCGTACTGAAGTACCGGTATCTGGTACCTGGTACAGTGTAACAGATGACTGAAATAAGCGGCTCGGTGCAGAGAGATTTAAAAGGCTGTCTGGTTGCACCGTTCTGTCACAGTTCTTTCCACCGTGATTAAAACTAACTTCCAAGAAATCCATATTTTCTTTTCTGGGTTTGGGTACGACTGTCCGATACAAAGGACAAAAGGAAGCAGCAATGCATGTTGCCTTTGAGTTCGATCAACTCCGGTAAGCTCCTTTGTTGTAGAGCAGACTCCCTGGTTAGCTTCCGATAGCTAGCTAGCTAGCTATATGTCTCATTTTTTTTGTTTCCAAAACTCTCCAGCAAACGACCAGCTAGCCTGAGGTCCCGGTACGATACATGTAGTAGTCGTTCACCTTGTACACACATCTGTTAAAATCTGACAGAAAGCAATTTGCCCCAGATTGATAGATTCGAAATGATTGGAATCATTCGTTGATGTATCCCAATCCGCACTCCCACGCCGGCAGACCTCCACGGGCAAAAACGATCCGACCGAAACAGCGAAACGGCTGCTCATCCGAGATGATGAGTCATGTTCGCTTGGAAGCAACGAGCTCATAATTTTGCCACACGGCCGAGCTTAGATCGAACCAAGCCATCATTCCTCACAGTCAGCAATGCCAAATCAACACAATGGCGCCAACGAATACTCGCGAGAAACATTGATTCAAGTCATGGAAGTATTCTTTGAAGAACCAGACGAATGCAGCCATCATAATTTATCCACAGACTTTGGAAAGGAACTTCTAGACCACATGAAACGATGTATACTAAGGACAAGCAAGGCTCCCGATCCCGCAGCACCAACACGAACGCCACCACCGCCCATGCCACAAGACGAACGATGAAAAAAAGCTGAATTAAGGTTGGAGGATGACAATGGTGTCAAAACCAGCCAATCAAATTTGCGAATCGAGGTTCGCGGAAAGCTACAGTACTACGGGCGTGGTCATTCTAGGACCTGAGAGGAAGCTCGGCGCGCTTGTTAACCGTAAACGAACTCCATTCATGAATCGACTGAGATGCTTCATGAGATTAAACGAGCTCCAGTCACAATGACGTTATTCGTGAAACAATTGAGACACTCTCTAGAGCTCAAACAATTGAGACACTTGGAGAGTCCGGTTCGCAACCGACATCTGACCGGCTAGCTCGTCATTACCAGCATGTTTTTGGATCTTCGAACATTGTAGTCACATCGTCCATAGCATCGACTCTCCACACTTATTTAATCAACCTGAGTTTTTCATCTTCCATCACTGAAGTTGTGGACATTGCGGATACCAACAGATCTGTTGTTGTGGTGGACCACCACAAGATGGAACTGGGAGGCGTTCCACAACCCCAAGCATGGCCAAGACTTGGAAGGGGTGGGTTTTAAAACCCTAAGAGCAAAGGGATGGCTGCTTTCAAGGCGGGGTCCCTGACCCTCCCATCTTTGGTTCAGAACCTTGTCGTTTATCTGTTATTGGCAACGACTGCCGCATTGATGAAGATCGATATTGCGATCTGTTGTTCGAGATGTTGATGGTGCGATGGTGCGACGTTCGGTGATGGTGTTGGTGTTGATGGTTGTGAGGATGAGGGGTCATCAGCGAAGGAGCGAGGGATTTCACTGGTGTTGACCATGCTACCAGCTGTAAATTCACTGAATGAATGTTCCTATACAAAAAGAGTACTTTTGGCTTGTATCTTTGCTTCTGGCCTGATTTGGTTATCTAGCGAAATGACTAGCTTTGAATAATTGGACTCTTTTTAGTACACTAATATTTCTTTAGTTTTGAAATTGGCACAATAAGTTTCATCTACTGAAATTATGGCTGGTAGCATGAACCGCTTGAGAGGGTCACGTACTCTAGCTAGATTGAAGTTGGTTCACGGGAAGGAAGGGGTATTGTCGTTATGTGACAGTTACCCGGCAGTTACCCAAACAAGCGGGCGCCTAGGGGGGAGTCTAGTTGGGGTCTAGTAAGAGAATCCGGCATTAGGAAACGGGACCCAAAATGAGGGCGGAGGACTTACGGATACAACTAGTCATACGCTCCTTTCTCGTTTATTTCTTTTAAGATGACATAGACTTAATTACTACCTAGCTAGCTAGGAGATGGAGTTAACGAGTTGATATAGTTCATTAATTCTTTTCAGCAGAAGATAGTAATTATTCTAGAACTTCAAGGAACAGTTTAATGCAATACACGGCTCTTAGCCTTATTCGCGACTCGATCCTAGATAGGGTTTGAGTTCGACTCATGACGTAGTCCTTCGGGAATAGTCATTGGAGACAGGGTTCTCAATGACCGCTCTAGTCATACTAGGTTGATGATGAAACATCGCTCTAGATATTTAGCCAGCGTGGAGTACTTCCACGCTACTAGATAAATGCTAGACGAATCTTCCACGCGTTCCGTTTTTGGATCGTGGAGTGAGTAGGATTGCTACCACAACCACTCTATCACACTCTACAGTCTCCCGCGGGAGTTCAGATCTACGATCCTTTGATTGTGGATCTCTCTCGTTGATTAGTTTTCATAGCTTTCTAATCCTCTCATAACTTTCATTCTCTCAAACTCAAAACACTCGAAAGATCTTTACACTAGCTTTTAGCGTAGTGCATTTTGTTAACAAACACAATAGCTTTCAGCTACCCTCAACCTATTCCTCACATGAAGATTGCCAAAGACGCTTACACAGCTTCGAGTCTAAGCTGCGCGACAACACAATCCTTCCTCTCATCGACCTCGACGATGAATGCGAAATCGACGATTCTCGCTCTACACCTACAAACTTCGCACTGTTCCAGCAGATGCTAACAGGCCAAGCACACCTTCAAGGTCCAGATCATCAATGGATCTGAGACTCCACGTCAGACCATCAAGTGGGTGGACGATGGAGAAGGTCTTCGTTGGGCTCGCCATTGCTACGCCTACCGATAAACATAACCTCCTCAAGGAGATGACTTCTAGCTCTGCCAAGAGCAGTTACGAATCTAGCTGTGCAGGCCACCGTGAACTACGTTGGAATGCCTTGCGCCAGATTGCAGTCAACGGCATTCCTCCACGCGACATACGTGGTGGTGAAGACGAAGCCACTTTCCAAGCACGTTTCCAGGCTGCCTGGGACGGAGCAGCTCAGCCTGCTTTGGACGACTCTGACATCACGTTTGGCATAAATGCCTGTGTCGAAGCGGTCTGTCCCTACAAGGCTCTTGAAAAGCAGAAACGCTTCATGCGCCGCAAGATGCGTAAGCCTGCTGATATGTCTACTCGGGCTTATGTCAACAACCTCAGTCGGATGAACACCGATGAACTTCCTCGTCTACCACCTTTTGGACCAACCAAACGTTGAACCATGACGAAGTCATTGACATGTTTGTCATGGAATTCACGCTCGTGGATGAAGAAATGGACGAACACGACTTCGATCCTTTCTCAGCTCCTATCGGAGAAACCATTGGATTCTGCGAGCATGGAATCCTCCGAAGACTTGACAAGGGCGGTGATGCCAAGCAAGTCCTTCGAAGAAGAACAACAGCAAGAAGTACAAATCTACTCGCAACAGACCACTCTTCAAAACGAAGAAAAATGGTGCGACTACCACGAGTCCAGCACTCACAACACTGCTGACTGCATGACCTGAAGAAGCTCAAGGCCAAGTCTCAGTCCTCGTCTGACAACGATAACAAGCCAGCGTACAACAAGAACAAGACTTGGAAACGCAAGTCCGACGACCCAAGACCTAAACCAAGAAGGAACTCTCTGTCCTCATGAAGAAAGTTTCCAACGCTGCGGTCAAGGCTGATCGCAAGAAGAAAAGCGAATGCAACCATTTGCCAAGCGCAAGTCTGACACTCCGACAACGAGGACGACTCCTCTGTTGGATCATCAACATGATGGATAAAGAGATGGCTGCT